CCACTTATACCTAAACTTTGGAGCCAGGTCGAAGTATCTGATTTAAAAAACTAAGGTAAAGTACTAAGAAAGAAGGTGGAAGAGGTTGAACGTAAAAGAAAAAAAAAAGAAATTAGTCTTAAAGTAAAGCAATGTTTTAGTATGATGAAAAAAGAGAAAAAAAAGATACTGCAAAGTTTTCTAAACAGACCGTATAACAAAATTTTGTTAGATAGAGTACTTCTAGAAAAAGATTCCTACTACCAGAATCAAGAGCTTATTAGTGATAAAAGTGAAGTAAAGCAGCAAGTAATATTATACTTTTAAAACCAATTCAGAAAAAGAAAACAAAAATTTGAGGAAATGAGCTAGGAGTAGCAAAAAGAATATGAGCCAAAAAAAAACATAGACCAAACTGGTATGAGAATATATTAAGTTCAATTAACAATGAGGATTGGTGTCAAGCTCTATGAAAGACACAGAATAAAACAGCACCTGGTATATCTTGTATCAGTTATATTTTATTCAAAAAATTATCTGCAAAAGCAACAGAAAAAGTAATAATGTTCATAAACAAAATTTTGAAGTACAGTAAAATTCCAGACAAGTAAAAAGTAGGTCAATTATATTTAATACCCAAGAGCAACTTTTGGGAGTATAATCTGAGTAATACAAGACCTATAGCCTTACTAAAAACATGTAGAAAAATTTTAACCAGAATTATACAAGTAAGGTTAGACAAAGTTATGAGAGAAAACAATATATTAAAAGGAGCAAATTTTGCAGGTCTTTCTGGAGAAAGTATAGTAGCCCTAGTGCACATTATGAGCAATATAATTGAAGAAGTATTAGAAGAAAAAAAAAAACTTTGGATCATATATTAAGACATGAAGAAAGCCTTCGACTCAATAAATATAGTAGTATTAAGAAAAGCTCTAGAAAGACTTAGATTTCTACCAAAGCTCGTAGACTTCATATTATATCTTTTCGAAAACAGAAAGTTTAGTATCATAACAGAATTTGGCAATACAGACTTATTTGAAGCAGAAGATGGAATAGACCAAGGGGAGGTTCTGTTGGCTTTGGTATAGAGGATGTTTTATGATCCACTCCTATATAGAGTTCAAGATGCAAAACTAAGCTATGAAATACAAAATAAAATAATAAATGTTAACAGAAAAGTCGAAGGTAAAAAGCTAAGAATAGAAGTATTAGCATACGTGGATGATACAATATTGGTAATACATGATCAAAAAAGTATGCAAGAGATGATCAATATATCAAACTGAGCTAGTAGTAGCAAAACCAGAAAAAAAAAGAATAGAGAACAATCTATTTGTATGGGTCGAAAACCCAAAGACAAAGATTTTGGCAAAGGGTTTAAAAGAGTTATTATGTTTTCTTGGGGTTTGGATTTCAATAAAGAACTAGCAAAGATCAGATATATATAAGGTGAAAAAGAAAATAAACAAAATAACAGGATTACTCAAATATAAGAAAATATCGCTTAGCCAGATTATATATATAAACAATGCGGTTCTTGTACCTACACTAGAGTATAGACTTATGCTCTCATATTTAACCAAAGCTCAATGTGATAGAATACATCAACTCATGATTTGTCTTACAAAATAGAAAATATCAATGCTATTCATAGTAGCAAACATGATAACAAAATATCTAGAGATAGTAAACCTCAAAAGTCTCTTAAATAGACATATAGAACACTATTTTTTAGAACTTATAGTAAGACTAAATATAGGTGGTTTGTTAGAAAAATCAACAGTAATAAGATTAAAACAAAGTTAATAAAAGACAGGCTCAACCAAATATATCCTAACAAATCACAAGCTTTTAGCAAAAAGAAAGCTAAAAATAAGAAATTTGGTTGTGCAAATTTTGTAGCAGGCAAAATCTTTAGGTTTTGTAATAGAAGATAGTAACTTTACAAAAAGATGAGACTTGAATCTTTTTCAAATAGTTAATAATCATGAAATTTCAAGAGTTTTAGAAAAAGGCGGGTTTTGCATAAAGAAACAAACGCTAGCAGAAGAGAAGTTTGGTTATCATCACAGCTCCTATCAAAAGATAGTAAATCAATACATACTTGGAAACAAATTAAGCTGATAAACAACCTTGCTCTAAAAGGGAAAAAGACAAGTTGGTTTGAGGCATTAGAAAAAGAAATGATTGATAACCCGATAACAAGAAAAGTCAAACCAATATACAAGCTTAAAACAAATAATCCAAATGTATTCAAGTTAAACGTAGAGAAAGTCGGAGAGGATAAAAGATCCAGAGAATGGGTTATGTGAAAGGATAAAGATCAAATACAGGTCAGAATTGGAAAAATTACAGAAAAAAAAAGAAAATTTGTCAAAATAGAAAATTATATGAAGACAATTAGGCCACAATTAGAGATAGAACAAAAATTTCTACAACGTGTCGAAAACCAAGCACCCATCTCAGTAAAATGCAGAAAACTAGGAGATATATTAAACCTAGTACAACAATTAGAAAGTAGTCTACAATTAATCTTTAGTATACATTCTTTGGAAAAAGCATTAGAAAAAAATATAGAGAAAGAGGTAGTAACTATAAGAGAAATATTGGAAGTTAAAAAAAAGTAATTAACAGTTATAGGTTGTACAAGGTGGGAAATTTTGTTTAATAAATAAAATAGTCATAGATAGAATATTTAGAAGTAGTTTAATAGAGGTTTTAGAACAAAATAAAGCTTTAAATAGTTTGTTTTTTTATACAGATGGCTTACTCGAAACATTAGAAGGTCTCACAAAGATGGAAATAAGTTGTGGAATTGTGCAGATTACAAAAGAAGATCAGATCCTATATCAAATAGCTTGTAGTACCGAAAAGTGGTTCTCATCAACAAAAGCAGAGTTAGTAGCATTACTAATAACATCTAATGAAAGGGAAGTAGAAATAAGAACAGATAGTAGTACAGCCATATTTGCAATTAGAAAAGGGCTCGAAGCAAACAAAGCAAGACAATAGTTTAAGATCAAGAACAGCAGCCTGATTGTAATGATAGTTGAAGTAGTCAAAACAAAGCAGCTAACTTTACATCTTACAAAAATTAAAGGTTACTCGGAAGATATTTTTAATGATTTGGCAAATCTCAAGGCCAAAGAAGGTGCAGCTTCTAAAGAGCTCTTAATTCCCACAATACTTGATACAAAAGAATTTAAACTAAGATATAAATGGGAAAATAATAGAGATAGCATCGGCTTGAGCCAGCTCAGCTTGGCTCATAAAGCCGAGCCAGCTAGCTCGAGCCGGCTCACATAATATATGACAAATTTGAATTTGTCACATGATAAAATCGACTTAATGTGGTAAAATCAAATTTATCATATGACAAATTCGAATAAATGTGATAAAATTGAATTTATCATGTGATAAATTCAATTTTATCATGTAGGCTCCGAGCCGGCTTAGCTCAAAAGCCATGGCTAAGCTGGCTTATTATAAGCTAATACCATCTCTAAAGAATGAAGTTATAAAAAAACCAATACGCTCTTTCATCAAATTATTTGGAAAAGTTATAAATGGTTGTATATCAGAATTCTGACATACAAAATCTCAACACACAAAATCCTAGCAACAAAATCCTGATAAACAAAATCCTGACAAATTAAAATTCTAAAGATATTAAAATTAGAATTTTAATTTGTTGGGATTTTGTGTATTGGGATTTTGTTGCCGAGATTTTGTGTGTCAGAATTTTGTATATTGGGATTCTGATATACAACCGTAATAAATAGAGTAGAATGGATGTTCTTTTATAGTAGTCAAAATACCACACATCAGGAAAGAGCAACTTTACAATATTAGCCAATCTTCTATAAAATCTTAGAAAGTGGAATCAAGCAGCGTAATCATACTTATAGTTCAAATACTATACAGCTCTTCGAATTAAAGTGTATAAACAATGTTCTACCAGTATTTGAAAAGCTCAATTAAAGAAAACCTGGAATATACAAAACTAATAAATGCATTATATGCAATAAGAAAACAGAAAGGATTGAGCATTTAGTAAGCTGTGAAGTGTCAATAAAGCTAATCCAAAATATTGAAGAGCAAGAAGTAGAGATGACCTTTAAAGAAATGGAAGAAGTACAAGACTTGGTTGAAAAGAAAGAAAAAATCCTAACTATGATGAGAAAAGAAAGCCTCGATACCAAGCTTCGAAAATGAGAAAGATGGATAAGAGGTCTGATCACAAAAGAGGACTTCACTGAAATGCATCCAATTTTCATGTTCAACAAACAAGCTAGAGACTTTATAGTAAAGCTCTGAAAGAGATAGATAAAAAAGATATATAAAGAGATTTGGTATAAGGGTTTAGATGTAGATTACATTAATCGGAGTAGTACTAATCATGTAGTATGTAATTTAGAGCCTGAACAAGTCAAGATCGGGGACACGAACTTCATGACTTGTGTAACGAAGGTAGTCATGTGGCAGGGTTGGATGAGTCGGAGCCATATCCAATCGGGTAAGGTAACTAAGCATTGTAGTACGTATGAATAGTATGTAATTTAAAAGCTTATGATAGTAATTAGAAGCGAATGCATAATAAATATAGTTATAGGCATAATTTGTATTAGTAATAGCTAATAATAATAATAAGGAAAACCCGATTATATAAAAGGGAAAAATGTCTGTAAAGAAGAGATGGCTTCTTAACGAATAAACAATAAAGAGTTAAAGAAATACCTTCCTTATACATTATATTATTAGTTGATCTACACCTATGATAAATAGATACGATTACACTTGGTAGTAGCAGAAGATAATTTTCTTACCAACACTATAATAGGTTGATAACCCTATTAACACCATTCATACAATCAAAAAGAAATATTAATTGTTCTTATCTATTTTAAAAACATAATTGATTATTCAAAGGCTTGAAAGCTACAAACGATAGTTAGCTTAAAAAGTTAAATAAAAAAATAAAAAAATAAAAAAAATTTAGAAAACTAATACTTAGTACAATGTCAGGAGACAACAACCTCAACCTTGGAATGAAAGATACACCTCTGCCTCCCGACTTCACCTCACTTTTTCAGCAGTTTTTGGAAAGTCAACATCAGTTAAACCAATACTTTGCTGTTACTGCACAACAACAGCAAGAAAAACAAACTGCTGATCATTGTATCTTGAGAGCCGGAAATGACAGTTCAAAAGCTGTCTAGTTACCAATCTTCAGCGGCAAAGAAGGGGAAAACACCCTTACATAGCTACTTCAAGTCGATCTACTTTTCAAAGCAAGAAAAGTTAAAGATCCAGAGTGGTTGCAATACATAATTACAGACCTCAAGAATGCGGCTTTACAATGATACCTAAATCAGGTACAAGTCTATAAACACCAACCATTTGAGAATTGGAATTCATTTGCAGAGAATATAAAAACTGTATTCCAACCGCCCATCACTAACAACTTTTACGTCACCAATTAAGGGACTTGAAGCAGACCTCAACCGTCCAGGAATATGCTGCAAGGTTTCGAAACCTACTTGGTCAAATTAATGGAATGCATAAAGCTGATACTTCACGGAAGGGTTAAAAAGGGCAACCAAAGCTGAAGTAAATTACTGTGTATCTGAAACCCTAGACGATGTGGTAAAGTTAGCTGCAAGTTATGATTTCGCGATGTATAGTGTGATGAAAGGTGTTAATAAGAAGCAATTGAGCAATATCAACTGGGATTATAATAAATCCAATAGGAGTTATCCACCACAAAGTACAATACAAATACCAGTCCCAATAGAGTTAGACAGAGTTGAAGTAGAATATTCTAAGAACACTAAACCTATATATAGAAAAGAAGAAAACAGGTCATTGTCAAGAGAACAAAAAAATGAATATAAGAAACAGGGCCTATGTTTTAATTGTGGGAAAAAAGACCATATGGCTAAAGAGTATAAAGGAAAGAGACGCAGGAATAATGAAATTAACTAAGCTGAAAAAGTCAAGTCAGAAGAAACTATTAAACAAGAAAAGATAAAAGTAACAGAGGGTATAATAAATCAAATAAGAAAAGCCTTTTAAAGGTAGAAGGGAAGATAAAAGGAAAGAATGCTCTTATCTTAATCGATTCCAGTACATCTAAGGATTTCATAAACTCTCACTTTGTGAAAAATTCACAACTAGAAATGGATAAGAAAGGATCTAGTTTTACAACAGTTGAATTAGCCAATAGTTCATGCTGTGAGTCACAAGGGAACGTCATAGACGTTGAAATCGAAATTCAAGGATTTAAAGAAAAAAGAAAAATTATGGAAGTAATACCCTTGCAGAAATATGACATTATCTTAGAGAAACCATGGCTTTACGATCATAATCCCTATATTGATTGGAGATAAAATAAAATAAAAATAAATAAGAGATGTCATACTTTTGTAATCAATGCTAATGAAACAGAAAACACAAAAGAATGCCAATCAATTTTAGTAACAAGAAAGCAGTTTGTTAAAGAAGCCAAAGGTACTGCAGAGTTGTACGCAGTTCTTGTTTCTAATATCATAAACAAAAATTTTGTAAATGGCCAAACACCAGAGTTTTTAAAAGACCTGGTATATCAATATAAAGATTTGTTTCCTGAAGAATTACCAGAAAAATTACCGCCTGAAAGGAATGTTGACCATGAAATTCTGTTACAAGCAGGAACTTCACCTCCATATGGACCTATATATTGACTATCAATTCCTGAGATGAAGAAATTAAAAAGACAGATTGAAGATTACTTGCAAAAGGGTATAATAAGACCTAGTACATCACTATACAGAGCTTCTGTCTTATTCGTAGCAAAGAAGGAAAGAACCTTGAGAATGTGTATAGATTATAGAGCTCTTAATAAAATAACAATTAAAAATTGGTACCCCTTACCACACATTGACGAACTGATGGACTAACTACATGGGGCAAAGTACTTTAGTAAGATTGATCTTCATTCTGGTTACCACCAGATTAGGGTAAAGGAAGAAGACATTCATAAAACCACGTTTAAGACAAGATATGGTCACTTTGAATTCCTTGTCATGCCATTTGGGCTGACAAATGCGCCTATGTCATTCATGAGATTGATGAATGATATTTTTAAAGAACAACTAGATAAAAGTATTATTGTCTATTTGAATAACATATTAGTATATAGTAAAAGTAAGGATAAACACTATAACCATGTGCAGCAAGTTTTTAAAATTCTTTGGCGCCACAAGTTGTATGAAAAAATACCTAAATATAAATTAGGAAAAAAGAAAGTAGAATTTTTAGGCCATATTATATTCAATAATGGAATTAAAGTGAACCTTAAGAAAAAATTGATTATTAAAGACTGGCCAGTATTAACTAACATTCATAACATTCGTTCTTTTTTGGGCCTTGCAAGCTATTATCGTAAATTCGTGCTGAATTTTTCAACTATAGCAGCACTATTAACTAGGCTGCTAAAGAAAGATGAAAAATTTACTTAGAACGAATCACAAGAATTTGCTTTTAATGCTCTTAAGGAAGCCTTAACTTCTGCCCCAATACTGTTAATACCTGACTTTAATAAGCCTTTTTCAGTTACAACTGACACATCTGGTATAGCAATCGGTGCAATCTTGTGCCAAGATCAGGGACGAAGTGATCAACTTGTAGCATATAAGTCTAGGAAGTTAACACTAGCTAAATTAAATTACCCGTTCACGAAAAAGAACTTTTGGCAATAATACATACCTTTAAAGTATGGCACGTATATTTGAAAAGAAGGCCATTTCAAGTAACAACTGATTATAAGTCACTAAAGTATTTACAGTCACAGTCTAAGTTGTCACATAGACAAGCATAGTGGGTTGAAACACTTCAAGCATATGATTTTACAGTAAAATATCAGCTAGTGTCACAGGCAGAATAAATCGTGACCATCTAAAACGTGACCCAAATGACGATCGGGTCCCAGATCGGTGAACGATCTGTGATTATGGCGCAACAACGATGCCCCGGGTTTTGGCATTCAAGATCGACCCAAAATTGGGTGAAACCCGCATATTTGG